CAAGTTTTATTAAAAATACAGGGCCCAGTTTGCAGAGCATATGCATATAAATGTCTACTGGTATATGTCATATACACATGTCTGTCTGACATGTTTGATATGACGCAGGTCATAGTTCAACCATTTATCAAAAAACATTGCTTGTATGTTGCTTCCCTGTTGCCTTATCATATTGATTGCTTTTTGCTTTGTACATTTTCACCTCCGAAGTAAACATATGATCAGAAATTATTTACAGCCAATAGATATATATATATTGAGGAGTAATCTGTTTTAAATGACTGAAAAGCCATGAGCAAAGTTCATCTTTTATCAATGCTGTTTATTTTTAGTCATTTTATTTTGTAGAGCTATGAAACACAAGTGGTTCAGGAGTAATGTGTATCACATGCTAATGTGTAAATGTTTTTAGAGAAATCAGAATTATTTAGACTCTTTATCCAATAAAGAAAATTGATATAATTTGTGAGAGATTGTTCCTGTTGTTGCGAGTCAAGTATTAGGTGGATTATTACGTGCTCAGGGGCCTGTTTCACAAAGACTAAGATCGACTTTAAGTTGGACTTAACTATCACAGGCCATTCATGCCACTAGTACCTTTAACCATTCCTGGCATTGGTTTCTCAAGAGACGTATAAATTGTGATCACAAATCTACAGAATTTACATTTTTTATATTATCTAAATATTATCTAAAGATCATAATTGAGAGACCAATAGTGAGAGCAACCAGTGGCATGAACAGCCTGCCATAGTTAAGTCCATCTTAAAGTCGATCTTAGTCTTTGTGAAACATCCCCCAGTTGTTATTTAAAAGACGTCAGTTTATGTGCAGGGGACGTAGAGAGTATTTCTGTACTAAGAAATATATGGAGGCTATTTACTTGTTCATAAAATTTGATTAAAATGAAAGAAATAAAAACTGCAGCAGTATGCGAGTCATAATTTGGGAAAGTTGTATTGATGAGCTGAATGCTTAGAGTCACCATTTAGACAGGGAGTTATCTAAATGGAAATAAAGATTCAGAGAGCAGAAGAGAGAGGAAAGAAAGGAGATAGGGGAGTGGGAAGAATGAACAAGGCAAACAGAGAGAAGAAAGGAAACAAAGGAAAGAGAGAGAGAGAGAGAGATAGGAGAAACAACATGGGAGTCGAAAGATATGGGAGAAATAAAAGGCTGAAGGAGAGAGAAAAACAAAAGAGATGCAGAGGGGAGGACAAAATTATTCTGGGTTAATATCATACGCAAATTACATATCTACAATGTCTATAATAAGCAATTTACAAATAATTAGTGCCCAAGGTCATCGGATTCAAGCGAACCTGCACACAGTGTATGCACATTCTCCACTCCCTGAGGAACATTCAGCCAGTTGCCATTTTACAGATTTTCACAAAAGATTAGCAGACTACAATGACTTTTGCATCAGACCAGGTTCCTGTTTCACATAATTACAGAGTAAGCTGTGACAATATTCAGTTTATGTGATCTACAAGTTGAGACTATAATGTTTAACTGAGAGAGGGCTACAGGCCCCCTAATATTACAGAATAAACAGTCATTTAAAAAGGTTTGGCTCAGGATATCACTGTTTTTTTAGATGTTATTATTTATGACTTCCTTACTTCATATAGCAACCAAAATGACACTTACGCGAAACGCGAAACTGAGAGGCAGAGACAGAGGGTAAGGCCTCGTACAGATAAGATGCGGCAAAATTGCAGCGGGTTTTTAAAAAAACGAAAATTGTTATAAAATTCCCATTTCTGTATCTTACAACAGAGGGCAACTTGAATACGCACAGAAAGTTCGTTGAGTGCAGTTGCAATTCATTTACATGTTTTAAAAAACGCTAAGGTTTTTTTGCAGCGATTTACCAAGTCATATCTGAACAAAGGTACTTTATGTCCCATTTGCAGGCCCGACAAATGAAAAGGTTAAATTCCAACTGCATTTGAAAGATAATACTAATTTAAAACTTCCCTCAAAACTAAAGGGCTTGGAAATGTCTTTAATGGGAAAATAACGCTAACATTTGAATTTGACAGATGGGACATACGCGACATATTCATAATTCCTGCAAAGTTCAACCAAATTTGAAGTTGGCTCCAGATAGGACATACGGTAGTACCTTTAAGGAAAACTGTTAGAGAAAGGGTACGGGGAGGAAGAGGAACATGAAATGCGATGTTCTAATGGGACAGTATATATTCCAACCTACTGTACATCTATGTTCTAGCTGACCTTGGGGTGCTACATGGGTTACATGCGTGCAAAAGAGGTACTTTAGATCTCTTCTGAACAACTATGAATAAAACATCCCCATATGTATGCATGTCGAGTGTCGGAACATAGGAGCACCACCTAATAAATAAATCATTACTCAATTCCCTATCCAATTCCACCGTAGACATTTACATTTCACATGACTTCGATATTGGCTTGCTGCCTTTTGACCTTCCTCTTCCTTCTCTCTTGCACACAAACCATCTTTTCCCTTTTTTTTTTTATACCTCCCCTATTTTACTTTCGGGCAAGTCTAAGGGATTGATTCATTTTATAGCCCATTTATAACAGATTCAAGGCTCGTGCAGATCAGACGTGCCAAAATCGCAGTATTTGTTTTGCTTTTGTTATAATAACGTTGAGTGTTTCATTAATACCCATCTTATGACACAGAGCTCGTTGGATATGTTGCATACAGTTGCCATTCATTTACACTAAGATTTTTTTTTCTTCACAAAAATTATCTGAGGGGCTTTTAACGTGTTCACTCTCTCTCTCTGATAGGGTTATGTGAGAGCAGGAGATTTGAATGCAATCTTAAGATTCACTTACATGTATATCTTTAGAATAAATTTCTTGGAATTGCCCCTCTTCCTAACTCAATCAACCCCCATCTCTACCTCCCTCTTTCTAACTTTTGAGTTTACCCAATCTGGGGAGTGTTTCACAAAGACTAAGATTGACTTTAAGTTGGACTTAGCTATGGCAGGCTGTTCATGCCACTGTTTGCTCTGACTATTGACTGGCATTGGTCTCTGAAGGGATTTACAAATCATGGTCTCAAATCTACAGAATTAACATTTTTTGATAATTTATTATTGAAGGAAAAAATATTATCTGAAGATCATAATGGTGAGAGCAACCAGTGGCATGAATGGCCTGCCTTGAACCTTGAACCTTGAACCTTGCAGAATTACTCTCCCAAAAGCGTGAACACTGTCCTGGAGAGGGCTGTGCTGTGTTGCGTGCTGTTGGTGATGTCATAGTTAAGTCAAACTTAAAGTCTATCTTAGTCTTTGTGAAACACTCCCCAGCTCACATTTCTCTCTTTATCTCTTTCCCTCTCTTTCATCTCCTCCTTGATCAGGTCACAGTAAAAGTCCTACGGTATATAAGACTTTTGTGATATCCCCAATTTTTCTTGACTTTGCCTCGTACAGAATATAATGTAGCATTTCAACATTCATGTATTGATGTAATTAATGAAAATGATCTCGTATCAAAAGAAAGACGAAGTAAACAACATGTACAATGTAAAAATTGAAAGTGGTTTTAATATCACACTTACAATGACATAGTGAGTGAGAATGTTTTTAAATGAGTTGTCAACAACAAATATCAAATTTACTTTTCCATGAAGAAATATGAAGAGTTTATCCCTAAAAATGAGTAATATATAAAGAAGACGTGTCATATCTGACCAAGGCTTGAAATGGGGCCTTTCAATCCCCTCAATAAATAAGATCGCTGTCTGTTTGTGTCAGTCAGCCGCTATTCGTTGACTTTAACAATGGACACGGTCTGTACTGAAACAAATAGAAGATGATACTCTTGGTTATTTAAGAAGAACAAAATGAAATTGTCATTCATTATGTAGAATGTAAAATTCAAGTTGTAACTTCCTTCTTCTTTATCTCCCCTCTCTTCTTATCTTCCTGTTACTGTCTTTACCTTATGTTATCTTTATCTTTCCTCTGTCCTCTGTTGTTGTGAATAATGTATGTACTATGTTTTGTATAAAATAAGTTTGTATCTTATATGTTAAGTATTTATTTGGGGATCATACTCATCAAGCCAATTTTGGCTTTCATGATTCCCCACTTCCTTGTAGCTTATGTTGATAATGAACAAACATGTATATAATTTGGATGTTTTTTTAAAAGAAAGTGAAATAAATAAATGAAATGAAAATTAGAATTACAATGTAACATAATTCTCTACTCAAGCAAAGACAGGGGCAAATACAGGATTCTGTGGCATGAAGGGGAGAGAGAGAGGCACAAGTTTGAACATTTGAAAGATATGCAATTAAAAAAAAGGGGGAGGAGATTGTTCATGGATCCTCAGGCCTTTAGAGATATACCGAGGTCTTCCCATCCATTCAAGCAAAAGTCAAGGGCAGGTCTACATCTAAAGGTTGGATTTTTTATGTTGGAGGGGACACAAGTGTGAAATATTGACAGATTTATGATAAGACAAAAAAAAGGTAAAGATGTAGGCCCAGGAGGTGTCTGGCACTTTATAGTGTTGTAAAATAGTATATATTATATCCTGCATCAAAATTTGATTAGTTTTTGATTGGTTGAGAGCTCTTCTCGTGACCAGCAATATTTCAACCATTTTAAGGTTGCTCTGAAAAAATACAACCTGTATTAGGGATTACTAGTTAGGAGTAGAAGTACTAGTTGAGAGTTGAAAATTCAGCGAGCGAATAGGATTTCAAATGACTCCAGGGGGACAACTTTCTCGGAATCACGGTGCTCACGCCGTGCAATCTATGCTGAGCCGCAGTCTAATTATCTGCGCTGCACTACTGAACCAGCAAAATCTTCATCCACAACAGTTCCCTATTAATGCCTGTGTGGTGAATTTTACAAGTAGACCACATGAAACATTGAAGAATGTAAATATGTTTGAAACATAATTGTTTGTTAAATGTTTGAGACACTGTAAAATATGTTAATCATTGACGTTAGAACTTGTTCGAGTACAAAATAGAGTAAAAGGCACAAGAAGATATTATGGAATGTAAAGGATGTAAAGTATTCCTACGACTCTTCCTTTGGTATAATCTCCTCCACAACCAGAGCAACATCGTGATCGATCCCTGCTTCCTCTAGCGTGTCTGCTGCATGCTGGGATAGATCCTGCCGAGGGTAGGTCGTGACCAGCGTGTAGAGCTTCTGATGGTAACCAAGCTTGGACATCCAGTTTAGTAAAACCTGGGATAATGATTATAGAAAAATATTCAATTCAATTCAATTCAATTCTATTTCACCTCTCTTTAAAAACACATCAGAAGATATTCAAACAAATAAGTATAAATTAAACAATATAAATATAACAACATTTATGTACATATCACTATGAAAGAAGAATGAAGGGTAGTGAATGCGAGGGAACAACAAAGGCCATTGTCCTGTCAAGGCTAATCCCCTATTTTACCACACATCAAGAGAAATACATTTAAAAAAATTAAAGAATAAAGAAACAAACAGATAATATAAGATAGCATAATCGCATAAAACACAACATAACTAATTGCATATTAACAAAGTAGTAATGATTCTGAGTGTTTGCAATGCACCAACTCCAAAAGTAAATGTACTTGTATAAAATGTAAAAGTATAAAGAAGAGAATAAAGAATTAGAACATAAGAATAAAGTGGAATGACACAATAAAGAAAGGGAAAAAAGGTAAAATCTACTGGAAAGCAATATTTAACAAAAAGGTGAATATCTAAGCCTGATCTATTATTGACAATTGAAAACTGAATAGATATACTCATATCAAATATCATATCTTAATTCCAACCTGTCATCGGAGATCAGTTATCCTGATTCTACACTGCAGAAGACAGTATATGTGTTATCAAAAGCTTGTTAGATGTGAATGGTAACTGAGCTCAATACAGGTACTATGCATATTCACTGAGCTCTGTGTTATAAGATACAGAAAAGAGAAGCGTATTTCCCTCCATGTTATCATTAAAAAAAAAAACTGCTGTTTTGCCGCTTCATATATGAACAAGTCTTTAAGTGGCATACAAAACATCAAGACTGAAAGAAACACCTTGCAAAAAAAATAATCTTTAACAAATTTTTACTATTATTCAAATGTCTACAAATATATGACGGAACTTGATAGGAGTCTACTTCATACCAACCTGAACTTTTTCTGTGAATAAAAACCGTCTTCTTTTCACTATGCTAGCGGTGCCCCTCAATGCAACAGTAATGCTCTGTATTACAAATAAAAAGAGAAAACCGTGAAATAAACAAAATAGAATTTAACCTGTAAATACCTAATGTACAAAATGATTGATTTTACATCTTTTTGGTGCATAAGGAATATTGATAATAATAATAATAAAAGATCACATTTATAACATGCCTAATGCTTTGTTTCTAGGCACAGTATATATTATAACCCAGCCATTCGATTCAGGCTTACCTGCACACAATGTATGCACATTATCCACTCCCTGGGGAGCATTCCAGTCAAATATGCTCATAAGGGTCTATCCATATAAATTCTGGTTCAGATAGCTATCTTAAAGTAAATGTTAAGCTTATCTCAAACTATTAACTGAGAAAGACCTCTTTGTATGATAAGGTGAATTATTCCATTGATATTTAACAGTATTCATGCCTCCTTTGGAACTTGAAATAAACTAAAAACAACCAAAACAAAATAATGGAAAAAGCAGTATTAGCATCTAGTAAGCTATCTGGCTTACTTGTTATTCCTAGGGTTAAAACAAAATGGGGGGAGCGAACCTTCGCCCATGCTGGGCCTTCATTATGGAATACTCTCCCTCAATGGATTAAAAATAGCAGTTCTAGTGAAGTGTTAAAAAAAATCTTAAGAAATATCTGTTTAAAATTTAGCCTATAATTGATTTACCATTACCTTCATGTCTGTAGCTATCCTATCGCACTTCTGTATATATTTATCATGTATTCAATCTTTTGCACAAGCTGCGCCTTGAGCATTTGATTGTCAAGTGGATTTGGCGCCATACAAATCTTATGTATTATTATTATTAGAAGAAGAATCAAGAACATTTTGTTACCTTTGGTGTTCCTTCTTCTGGTTCATCAGGCAGTGTTATGACCTGCAGTGAGCACAACACAGACATCATTCATTACATTAAACATTACAAACTCATTCACCCTTAAAGTAGTCACCCAAAGAATCAAAAGTGTTTTGAATTGATGTAAAATTCATATCATTGTGAAGGGGAAGCCTTACTGATCAAATATAACAACTTCCCTCTTCAAAATATGTTTGTGACCCGCAGTAATCATCTCTCAAAATTGTTAATTTTGAGATCCAGATCTTCTGCATTCAGCAGTCTTCAGTAAAACAAATAAATATTGGGGTATAGATGATAACATCAGTTAATGCTTAATTACATAAACCACTAACCATATCAAACTTCATTGTACAATATGAATAATTAAGTTATTCTACAGGGAGCATTCTAGTCTAAAAATTGATAGATCTTGATGGTTTAACTGTGATATAAATGGCCAGCAGAGTGTTTCACAGAGACTAAGATCGACTTGAAGTTGGACTTAACTATGGCAGGTCATTCATGCCACTAGTTCATCTAACCATTCCTGGCATTGGTTTATCAAAGGACGTACAAATCGTGGTCACAAATCTACAGAATTTACCTTTTTTGATATTTCATTATTGAAGTTTAAAATATTTTTTAAAGATCGTAATTGAGAGACCAATGGTGAGAGCAACCAGTGGCGTGAATGGCCTGTCATATTTAAGTCAAACTTAAAGTCGATCTTAGTCTTTGTGAAACACTCCCCAGGCCATTTGTTGTTTTGCTTTGAATCATGAATTCCAAACTAACTGACTCACTACTTTAGCTTTTGGGGGTTCAGCTGGAGCTCTCTTTGGTGGGTTTGTCACTGACTCTGGGAGTTTCCTAGCAGCAGCAGCATCCCGGTTAGTTCCCTCTAGGTCTCTCTTCCGAGGAGCCGGTCTGGTCTCTTGGTTCCCGGATGAAGAATCATCATTGTCATCTCTTGGCTTTACAAATGATATAAGATTTGTCATTGTAATCATCTCTGGATTTAATAGAGAATGCTCTTAAATTTCTTTAACACATCATTAAATAGACAACTGGAAAAAACACATAAACAAACACCTATTTAGCTAATTACTATTTATCCCTTTGTTATTAGCCTTTATTTTGTGTACGGTATTTCTTTTATTTTCCTTTTGTTGTTGTTGTATTACTTTATTGTTCATATGAGTACTTGTTATATTACTGTTCTGATACATGCTCTGTATCTATATATAAAGTACTACAGATATTATCATTATAAATCATTACCCTTCTCATCAAAATCAGATTCATGAGGCATCATCTACTTAATACATAAGGGACAAAACATTTTTCTGTAGGTCACTTCTACCTCTCTCACATTAAAACAAGGCTGTAAATTTGGCATAATATAAAATAGCTTTACATCATAATTGATTTTCAATTTGGGTGACAAAACACCATAAGTAATCTATCAATTTTACATGAAATGATTTATCAATTTGAATTATTTTAATAATTTGATTTACCCTTGTGCGCTCTCCTTTTCCCTTCCATGCTGGTCCTGCATTCCTGTAGAATTCCTTCTCCAAGTCGGCTTTCTTAGCCTCTTCCTTTGGTTTCAATATCCTCTCGGTAAAGCTCTCTGCCTGGTTATCAAAGAAAAGATAATGATGATTAGGCCAATATAATACAGCACAGGAATCGTTGCTTTCATAAAAGCATTGAGCTTGACATAGCAATTTATTTTATGCCTAGAAATCCTAGTCAGTGTTTATGCAGTGAAAAAGAGCATTGAAAAAGAAAATGCCTGGTCATCATATTTGAACAAATTTTCTTCCTTGTGCTGTGGAAGATTATAATGTCTTTCCCAACATAAACCATCATTCATGTTCAAACCAAATGGTACGCATTAATTCGGTCAAGGCTTTAACAATAGGAATAGTGCTGTAGCCCGGAAGGCTTACCGGGTTCCAACCCGCCGGGTTGAGCATCTCGGGCCGGACCAGTTCCGGGCCGAACTGTAGTCGGAATTAGATCAACTCGGTAACTAAACCCGGCAGTAAAAAAGAGTTTTTAAATAGCTCATTGTTCATTATCTACTTATCTTTCATCACGATAAAACCGTCAAAAGTAACTGTAAACAAACACTGCATGATGGCTCGATCTTTTACATCTGTTGACCTGTGTTTGCATAGACACTGCACACATAGATTTTGTGTTGTGTGTTCAAGTGTGTATATGCATCTCCCTGGCCCTGCCTGCAAGCATGCTGCAAGTGATGTGACTGATCAGCTTACTGTACTGACCAATCAGAAAGTTTCCCCCGAGTGGGCGGAGAGTGAAACCAGCATAAATTAAAGTTCAGTGATTGCTGGCACAGTAGAACAGACGATTCATAAATTATGAAGTTTGTTGACCGCTGACATACTGTTTGACCGCTGACATACTGTTTATGAGAGTATGTCTATGAAAAAATTTTATGCTTGAGGTGGAGGCTGAGCTGAGATGAAGTCGGCAGAGAGTTAAATTAAAGAGTAATTCCATTACCAAAATACTTCCTGACAAGCGGATTTAATTAGCAAACAATACTTAAGCTAATTTGTTCTCTGAAGATAATTATTGGGGTCCATCCTCAGACTACATCCTCTCTCTTATTCCCCTGTTTCTCTCTGCCTTAATTCTTAACCAAAATTGAACAAAATGTTTTAGCCCAGATTAGAAGAAAAAAAGTGTGACATGTTGATAGTCTTTAGAGATGAGAAGGAAAAAGAAGTTATCTTCATCATCATTCTTCCTTCCATCTCTACCTTTTTTCAATTCTATTTACTCATCTTCCGAATGTGTTTTAAACCTCCCCCCCCCCCCCCTCAAATCAATTTGATCTTCTTTCTCTAAAAAAATTAAAAGTACAGAATTATTTACGTAATGTAGTTTTTCTCATGATTTCTTTTCTTTCTTAAATTTCTTTCATTGTGTCTCTCCATCCCCCAAAAAATTCATTCACATCCGATATATCTCTTTCACTATCATGTCGCAGAAATTTAGAATACAAAAACATTCCCTATCAAAGATTAATGCATGCCAGACAGCTTGGGCCCAGCTGGGTGTAACATTACACCGCGGTTCCTTTGAACAGGGTTCCAAGGTTCAAAGGTTCAACATGCAGCCTTTGTCCGGCAAGCGCACTTTCCCAAAAATATGCAAATATCGGTTAAGCATGGCATGTGCCTTACATGTGATCATTGTTTTTAATTGGCAGACAAACAGACCAATCATAGTAGAGCATGTTGTATATGCACTCTGACAGGGAAATGAGCTATTTTTAGGATTCCTACATACATGGAGCTAGCCATATAAATGCTTCATCTTTTTAGGGAGTGGATTAAGGGTGATAATTTATGCTTACCTGGGACTTATGTCTGGACTCAGACAGCATGATAAACAAAATGAAGCGATGTGGCCTCTATTCAGGACAAGGTCATTAGGTCACACAAGATGTGTTTGTAGTAGCTTTCAAATAGAACCTAGTCAATATTATTTCAGTCCAACTCTCACCGGGTTACCGGACCTTTCCGGGTCCCGTTAAGAAATTTGGAAAATTGCCGGGTCGGGCCGGGTCCGGGTTTTGGGTTCCGAGCTACAGCACCTCATAAAGCCCCTATTTCAAAAAACAAAAAATCATAACTTTATACAATTATATACAAGATTAGTGTAAATAACTTTAGATATTTCATAGATGTTCCGTTAATAAGATTACAGTGTAGGCCTACCTTTAATGTATGCTCATCCTGTATCTTCTCTCTTGCAGCTTTCTGTTGTTTTAACAGCTCATCAGGGGGTAGTTCTGATTTAATAGCAAGGCAAGAAAAATGCAGTAAAATGTTAACTTTTTAAGAGGCTTAAAATTAACAATCGGGCAATGTGAAAACAATATTTTTCTATATTCTAAAGAGTGAGTGTCCCCATTAAATATTGGATTTCACAAAGGAACAATTAGACAATCTTTACACAATAACTTTGTCATTTTGACTTGCAAATACAAACATGGCATGTAATTTCACATACAGTTCTATAGGAATAGTGCAGATGCCACAAAGGCATTTCACAGTAACAAGGTGTAACAACTCATGTGGTGGTGGTGGGGGGGGGGGGGGGGGGGGTGTCCGGACACTTAACAAACATACAGCCTTCTCTTTTGCCTTCAAATTGAACAAAAAATATTCTTCGAATAGCACTAACCATCATGAATATTTGTCCTTTATAATATTGTCCAACATAAGTCTTAGAAGATTTATGAAATATTGCTTGTAATCTTCTTCAAATTGCTGTTTTGATTCAACTGCACGGAGTCCTGATACACAACCTGTCTGGACACACAACGTCTGGGTATAAAATTCAAGTCCAAATACTTACTTTCTTTGGATTCATCCAAAGTGGGATGGGACCTCGGGAAATAACTAAAAAACAACTTCTGGATGCTGTCTCCGAAGTAGAGCAGACAGAGCATTAGAATGAGGAGGTAGAAGAACCCCACTCCTGCTAGCCGCACAACCTCACGGAACTCTGGAAAGAGAGAGAGAGAGAAAGAAAAAAAATTACACATTTTCCTAGTTTGTCCAATTACTTTGGTACATTGTTTAAACATATTCGTGGCTTACACCCAGTAAATAAGATTGACGGATCGATCTGTAGTTTAGTATAGTATACCAATTACCAAGGTGAACACACAGAGTTTGCTCAATTTAGCCGTGATTGCTCAGTCGGTAGAGCAGTGGTCTCGTAATCCGGTGACCCGAGCCATGAAACCTGTGAAAAAGTGTATACTAATATCAACGTTTATCCGAAAAATACTCCAAAAATAACAAGAAATTTTACACGAAACAGGTAATAAACGATAACGACTTTTAACTCATGATCTTTATTTGGACATTTAATGAATATTTACTTCATTTTGGGTATGTTTTAGAAGGGTATCTCCACGCCGGAGTTACGGGTCAAATTTTTGGATAGGTTTCTGAACAAGCGCCAAAATTGACACGAAACAGGTAATAAACCTAACGACTTTTAACTCCTGATCTTTATTTGGACATTTAATGAATATTTACTTCATTTGGGGTATGTTTTAGTAGGGTATCTTCACGCCGGAGTTACGAGTCAAATTTTGGATAGGTTTCTGATCAAGCGCCAAAAATAGAGTTATGTTGTGTGATCAGTGAACACGCTTTACAATTTCCATTCAGATTCACAATAGGGTAGAATGCCCAGTATTCGGTCACTTAAGGGGAAATCACTAATATTTTGAATTCTTACCTCTTTTATTTTGCAATCTACCCATCAAAAGAAAAGAAATTATTCCTCTAACAGGATTTCATAGTCACTTAAAACAAAGAATGATGATAAGAAAAATATTTCCAAAAGAAGACGGAGCATTTTTCTGCCCAGAATTAGGTTACGCGATTTGTGCGTGGTATCTCCGTTGCCAAGGAGCGTAGCGTATTTGCGCACTATTTTCACACCATTGCGCGATAAAGCACTGATTGTCAATGCGTTGACCGAATACCGGACGAGCGATACCGCATGGCCATGGCAAGGGTATTGTATAAATAGGGTGTCTGAACGATTTTTCAATTTTCAATTTGGGATCGTTTTTCACCATTTTTGTTTGATATTTGAATAAAAAATGTTATCAGAATAATACATTTCAAATTTCAAGTCTCACCGATGTTTCTATCAAAAGTTACAGCCCCTCCAAAACGCTGGTATATTCATATCATTTTGGTCAAAATCGACGAAAAAGACGTCCACGCAGAGTGATGTTGTTTTGCTAAATTTCGCCAAACAGCTGTATCACGCGATATGCAAGCGTATGCATATCGTACGCATGCTGCTAAGCCAATCCGCGACTTGCAGCTTGAGCTACGCTGTCTCCGCGACATGTGCCATTGACTAGTATGGTTGGCAATTCCCGCCGTAGAACCCGGAAGTGAATACACGTTGTAGTCAATGGCAATATCGCGGAGACAACGCACGTTGTCTCCGCGATATTGCCATTGACTATAGCGTGTATTCACTTCCGGGTTTATCGAGGTAATTGCCAACCATAATTTCAGTCACTATAATGTGTAATTGAATTTGGGGTTTCGTTCGTGCGCGGAGATGTTACGCGATGTAACCATGGTTTGGACTGAGCGGAGCGCACGCCCCCTAATTAGCTGATCCACCAAATAGCGAGAAGGGTATTTTTAAACTGTTATCAGTTGTGATCCCTGGGGGCTAGCGAAAATATAATCACATAGAATTGTTCCTTGGGACTGGGACTACTTATCGATCGGGGCGTCATATCTCAAAAGTGACAAACCTCAGAGTTAGCCAGGACACAATGTTTAAATTGCTGTTTTGACCAAGATATTTTTAGAATTTCGGGGGCTACGCCCTTTTGGAAATATTAGAATTCACCTGCTCTTTCATATGACACCTCATTCATTGATTTTCACCTTCAGGATCACAACAGATAAAGGTTTGAATCTCGATTTGAATCTCGACTTTTTTTGCATGGTCGCGCAATGCACGTAGGCTGCATAGGGATGCGTGTAATCTCTATGGGAAGAATTTTAGCACACAACATCGGGTGCGCGATCAGACACCCTAGTATAAATACCTCTTGCACATCGGCAAGTGCGTCATTTGTAAATTCGCTGCGATGGAGTGAAAACGGAAGTGATTCTCTTCACACACATACTAAATTCATTGCGACAGCACACGTAGTTGTTTTGCAATAGACTTCTACATATGGCTATGCATGTTAGCGCATGTGCTAACCGAACGCAGAAGTGCAGAAAATTGTGAGACACTGACCAATTTCGAGCTAAGTTGGAGATCTTTCCGGGGCCCTATAAAAATCTGATTTAATTTTGAGAGTTAAGAAAAGTTGTTTAGCTGCCTAGTTTGTGCAAGTTTCGCTGCTCATTAATTATTTATTTAATTGTTACAGCTGTTGAAACGGTTGTCTGACCGAATACTGGGAATGGACCGAATGGCCGAATAGACCTACTGGGCGCGCTACCCTCAGACCCTAGGCCTCACAGTCACACACTTTTAAAGTCACACTCACAGTCACAGTCATCTCCCTCATCATACACACACGGTCACACGAAAGAAAGCCTCCCAGTTTATATTATAACATTTTGTACAATATAAGTATATTTATACATGGCATTAATAAAAACATACCAAGATTTTCAAGCATAGCGAAGTTGATCAGCGATACCGATGTTTATTTAGATTTTAGACGTGTCTTCTCGATCGTCTGCTACATGCACATGATGCAGTCCCAAAAAGTTAAGGCGACAATATTATTTGGTTCAGATTTGTGCTGCCAATTTTATGATAAAATATTATCTGTCAACTTTATCAATTAAATATCATTTATCAGAATTGATGAATAAATTTTCTTTCATTTTATATCTTTAATATATATATAATAGTTCAACATAATTGAATGTTTCTTTTTAATAATATATACATATAATTTATTGTTCAAATGTTTATAGCTTTTTGATTGGCAATTCTAAGTAAATGCATTTAAAAACTGTGTGACATTTTCTTGCAAAATACGACGTGTTCTTAGATGTAGCCTACCTCCAGGCTGAAATAAATATGTTTTATTAAGTTTGTACAGCTCCGGGGTTTTAGAAAACAAAGCAAAATTGTGCATTGGTATCACATTTCTGGAAACGTGAAACTCTAATTAAAAAAATTAAAAAGTGTGGGGGTGGGCCTGTTTGCAAAATCACACATCTTTTTTCTTTTTCTTCTTCTTCTACTTCACCTTCTTCTCTACGCTCGGTTCTTCCCGGGTTCTTCTTTGTCCGATCTTCTTGTTTTTGTTGTTCTTCTAATAATCACTGTTTTTGTTCCTGTTCTTGTTCTAGCTTCTTGTTTTCCTTTTTTTTTTCTTCTTCTTCTTCTTTCCCGCCTTCTTCCGCGAATTCCCCCCTTTTAATTTCTACTTTCTTATTCTTTTGCTTCTTTATCTTCTTCATTTTAATTCTTCTAGACTTCTACTTTATTATAATTCTTACTCTTCTTCTCCGCTTCGTTAAATTTGTTTTCTTCAATCTTCTTCGAACTTCTTCTTCCACTTCTTCTTCACCTTATAAGTACCTCTTCATCTTTTCTTTTCATTATTCTTCTTCTTCTTTTTCTTCTTCTTCTTTCGTTTTAACTTCTTCTTAATTCTTGTTCTTGTTCTTATTCTTCTTGTTCTTGTTCTTCTTGTTCTTGTTCTTCTTCTTCACTTCTTCTTCTTCATCACCATCATCATCATCTTCTTCTTCTTCTTCTTCTTCTTCTTCTTCTTCTTCTTCTCCTCCTCCTCCTTCTTCTTCTTCTTCTTTTCCTTCTTCTAATCCAGTCCTTCTCCTTTTTCTTCTAATTCTACCTTTCCTTAGTATTTGTATTTTCTCTACCTGGGATGAATGACACAGGTTAAGCTGCCTTATCTTTCATTGTTGAACCTTTAATAATATTGCTGTCTTCCTCGGGACTATATTAGCCTATAGTAAATATTCCTAATTCTGAAATCCTAACATATCGTTACATCATTCTAGCCCAGAAGTAAAAAGAAAAATTTGAGAGGCATGCAAGTGTCTTTTTTTAATGTTAGAGAACACATTCGTTTCAGAAGATCAAAAAGTACAGAAGCCCTATGTAAATAAATTGTTTTACACCCCCCCCCCCCCCCCCCCCCCTCCCCTCAACATGAACATCTCTCCGATTTTTGTTGGATTGCATTGTTTTTTCCAAGACTTCTGACAAGACTAGCAATTGCGGGAAATCGGTCTTGTTTTGATTCACGACGTCGCGTTTGGTGGTAAGAAGTTTGGTGGATTTTTCTAAATTCTAAAATTTTGACAAATGTATGACTGGTAATAAAGTGGGGGTGTTTACTTTGGAATACCCCACCAATACAAATATTCCTTCGTGAGCAACACAATCACTTTAAGTGTCTGTTTTGCAAAAGTAGTTGGCCTAGAATCGCGTTCGAAGGCGCAGGCGCGGTGCGGGCAACTAAATGTTGATCAGGCCAGCTAGCTACAGCTACGGACGGGCGCGGCGGGCAATCGGCACCTTGCGCTCGCGCAGTGCATGCGGAAAGAGAACAGAGAATGCAATGGACGCCGCGCCAGGCGCCTAGCCAGTGGGGGAGGGGGAGGGGGGACGGTCGCCCCCCCCCCCCCCCCAAAAAAAAAAAAAACGCTGGTAAAAAGAGAGAGAGAGAGAGAGAGAGAAGAGAAAAAAGGGAGAGGACGTAGCCGTAGAAGGAAGAAAAAGGAACAGACAAAGACAAGAGTCGAGAATGGTATGAAGGTAGGCACATTCATGGGGCACTAGAGGGTGCTTCGCGAGCGTACGAAAATCTGAATGGCCTTGCTGCGGTGGGTCGGCAATAATCGGCCCAAAACTTGGATATGAGAGGGTGGAAGGATATATCTTTTTTATAATGTTATCCGGTCTTACCCCTAACCATCCTATGTTTAATCTATGTAGAAATAACATGCGAGTACGATAATTAAGAGAAACATCGGGCCCATTACTGATGCAACTTTTTAAATATTAGCCTAGAAATGACCACCAAACGGAAAAAAATGACATTTTTTTCCGACAAATCTTCATAAAATCTGAGTTATAAACAACTCACAACTAGGCTCGGTAATGCAAATACGATTTTCTGAAAATTCAGGTGTGATTTTTTAAGTTTCTTTCAAGTATATTTCTGCGTATCGCAGCGCAAATTTTCTTCACTGCTTCAAAATCACCCTTGAAAATTTTTTTTGCAACGAATTTGATACGGGGTCCGTGAGTGTTCCCCGTTCCTTGCGTGTTGAAAGTTTGGTAATGTAGGGATTTATTTTGAACTTCTGAAACTCCCCTTCATATCCATGATTCATCCCTTTCATATTAATAGGTCATCCCTCATTTACATTCACCCTTTTCATCCACCATCCTTTCATCTGTCTATCTCTCTTTCTCTCTCATTGGTTTCAATGTTCACCTGATGCAGTCAAGCTTATAGTATAATTTACATATACCATGAATATTCAATATATACCCTTTGTTTATGTTTGAATATTCAAGAATACTTTGTGATGCTGATTTATACTTGTATGGGACTAAATGAATATTTATTGGTTTCTTCTACTTTGCATGGAATGTATGTGGAATGCTACATAGAATGCTGTAATGCTTTGCTACATTAAAACCTGGTCAGTTAGCCAGGTGTTATCAATCGTACAACATGTCTGCTGGGCTGCCTCTGTGTACTTAAGAGTGCTAGGAATTAGTTAGAACCACAACCCTACATTGGTGGCAGCGGTGTTTTTCTAGCCTCTTCTTCCCCAGAGCTTCAGGCAGCTTCTTCCAGCGGCGGCTGATAGTCAAGGTTTTGGTTATCTCTTCACCCTGCTTCGATTGATACAGTTACGCCCTGCTTCGTGAATTTGCTTCCTACTCCAGGTAATTTAGTTCACCCTTTTCGAAAGGCGCTGTTTCTACTGTGCTCCTACCAATGTTAGTTTTCATCCTGCTTCAGTGAAATTCTTCCTTCTTCGCGAATTCTTCTACATGCATAATCTGAAGTTAGTGAAATTTCCGAGTGAATCGGTGTATTTGGAGCCATGTTTTTCAGTGTGAAACCTGTATGGACTCAACACATTTCATAGTGGATTAGATGTGTTCTTGCAATTTCAGGTTTACTAATGCTTGCAATTCAAGACTGACTTTCAAGTGTTACTGATTTTAGATATCATGAGTACATTTCGTCTAGACCTCCCTGAGGTCTTCACTGGAGAAGACGGTAGGAATTTTGGGCAGTGGGTACGAAGGCTGGAAGTAGCGGTTGAAGTTCTTCCCCAGACAGAAAGAAAACTGCATCTCATCCTTCCATCCAGACTAGCGGGTGTGGCTTTCACAGTTTGGGAGAGTATTCCGAGCACAGATCAACAAGAGTACAGTGTGGTTAGAAAGAAACTTTCTGCTGTTTTTGGGAATACAAATTATTTGACCACGTTCAAGTCATGTATCGATGCTCGGAAGCGGCAACAGAATGAGGTTTTGGAAGTTTTTGCGGCAGCAATTACGACACTAGTGGAAGAAGCCTTCCCTAATTATGACGCTGCAGGAAAGGATGGAGAGAAATTTCGCAGATTTCTCGCCGGTATTGACAAACCCCTGCAGATAAGAATACATGAGATGGGTGCGACGTCGTTTAGCGAGGCACTGGATGTTGCGGTGCGAGTTGAAAGAGCGAATCGGTTGGGGCAACCATCAGTGGCAACAGACTTTACCATAGCGTCAACTTCTCCGAAGAGGGATGCCACCTCGGCGACGCTTGAGAAGGTTTTACAGCGTTTAGATGAGCTAGAACTCAAGTTGGAGAAACGCAACTCTACACCTAGACCTCAATACTCTGATCGTCGTCTCCAACCGTCGAGATCGCCCAGTCCTTATGACCACCCGTCTCGGTCGAATCGCCAATATTAAGATGATCGTTGGCGCCAACCATCTCGATCGCCTAGCCCATACCAACCACATCAACGACGCTTCAGGTCGCCCAGCCCCCTACGTCACCAACGCACTCAGAGCCCTACACATCATCGCACACTTCGCGGGTCAACCCCACCCAGGCGTAATGCATACGATGATGTTAGATCTGCTAGCCCACGACAGTCAAGATACTCGAACCAAGCTAACTGGCAGTCTTCACGTTCTGACGACCGCCACGCATCTGGTACAAGGGATACCCCTTATCATCAGTTGAACGGTGAACAGCACAGGAAGGTTCGTTTCGATGACCAGGGAAACTACTGGTAGTTGGTGAGGAGGGTCACTCATCAACTTCACCACTCTTGACCAAACAGACTCAAACTGACAACAAATCTCATCCTCCATCTACTTCGGCTGTTAATGATCATTCTTCTCCTTCACCTCCGCCACCATATATTCCAGCAATCGTTGACAACTCATATATTTTGGCTTTTATTGACAGTGGTTCATTTATATCACTGATGAGTGCAGATTTCTACTACTCCATCCCAGAAGGCCAGCGAAGTATATTACAGAAGTCGACAACTCTGGCTTCAACGATAACCAGAGAAGGCATTGACATCATTGGCACAACCTCTCCCACCATCCATCTTGGTAACAAAACAACCAGACATATGTTCAATGTTGCAAGGAACATAACTCATCCTTTCGTCCTTGGTTGGGATTTCATGTTCAAACATGATGCCACTCTATCTACTACGACATTCACTATGCCTGGTATGAGTATTCCACTGGTCGACCGTCGTCAATATCAAGTACCACTCAAGTGCAATGTTTCGCTGATAGGAAAGGCAACTCTTCCTGGGATGAGTGAGGTACATGTCCAAGGCCGCCTTATTCCCCCTCAGCCTGATGTGATTCCACAAGACTACGATGGAATCTTTGAGCCCTCCATCCATGAACATCTCCATGTAGCAGGTGCAAGGTCTCTATCTCGACCGCAAGATGGTATCATCTTACTCAGGCTGATCAACCCTTCATCTGAGACAGTGCAATTATCTGCAGACACCACCCTTGGGCAGTTCTATTCTACTACTGGAGACGGTGAGGAAGAATATGAAATCATCGACAGTATTGTAGCTGGCACACAGAAAAGTTCGTCTTTTCAAGCTTCTTCGATGCTTCCTACTTCTAGTCTGTCCAAGACCGAGTATGAGTCTGCTGAAAGTCTACTCAATTCATACTCTGATGTTTTCAGCAGCACATCCGAGGATATTGGACAGACTAACCTCGCCTACCATGACATCACTACATCAACAGAGATACCAACTCGTAAAAGGGCATACAGGAGTTCACCAACTATGAGAGTCGAGATCCAGAACCAGGTTGATGAGCTACTTCGTCGAGACATCATCGAGGAAAGTTTTAGTCCATGGGCAAGCCCCATCGTTATGGTGCGAAAGAAGGACAAGGCTTACAGGTTTTGTGTTGACTACAGAGCTTTGAATGCTGTTACGGTACGGGATTCGCATCCGATTCCACGACAGGACGATTCTATCGATGCTTTGTCCTCCTCGTCCTACTTCAGTGTAATTGACCTATCTTCAGGCTATTGGCAGATCCCTTTGGATCCGAAAGACAAGGAGAAGACCGCATTTACCACTGGAACTGGCCTCTATCAGTTTAAGGTCATGCCATTTGGTTTAGTCAACGCGCCAATGACGTTCCAGCGAGTAATGGAAGCCGTCCTCCATGGTCTCCATTGGTCAACATGTCTTATCTACTTAGATGATTGCATTATTCTCGGCAAGACATTTCAGGATCACCTACACAATCTCCGGGAAGTCTTACAACGATTCCGAGAAGCCAATCTCAAGCTGAAACCTTCGAAATGTCAATTCTTTCGAAAGGAAGTAACCTATCTGGGACATGTGATCAGTACTACTGGAGTTCGCCCCGATCCTGTCAACACCAAGAAAGTCTCATCCTGGCCTCAACCTAAGACTCCAACCCAAGTGAGAGCATTTCTAGGACTTGCCTCCTACTATCGTCGGTTTATGCCAAGTTTTGCTCAAGTAGCATCTCCACTCACTGACTTGACTCATTAAGGCAAGAAGTTCATCTGGACTGATGATTGTGAGGAAGCCTTCGACCAACTGAAGTCGTCTCTCACAAGCCCACCAATCCTTGCATACCCGGACTTCAACACCAAGTTTAGCTTAGCCACTGATGCTTCACAAGATGCTATTGGAGCCGTACTCTCTCAGTTGCAAGATGGTAATGACCGAGTGGTTGCTTTCTACAGTCGGAAGCTTACAGAGTCCCAGC